TTCCATTCATTCGAGTTATTTATAAAACACTTCCTGTACATAAGGCCCTGTGCTATACACTGGCAGGGATACAATATGAATCAGATATGAACCCTAAGGAGCTTATAGTCTAATAAAAGAGCTAAAACACATACATGATTATAATGGAAGCACAAAATTTTATTTGCCGCGAAAGAGTAAAGTGACCTGAACCATGCTTCTGAAAAATTTAGCTGTATGCAGAAACATACTAAAAGTAAGACCATTAATTAGATGCTATGGGAATAGTCCCAGATGAGAAGTAATCAAGGCTTAACATGGGGTGGCAGATGTAGAAATAAAACAAATACAAAATATACCTCTGTTCAGCATGTTTATTTATTTTTTGCATTTTGATGCTTTGACATCAAAGAACTTGCTGATCCTGGAGGGACTGCTCCTCCCAAGGCTAATCAATTCCTAAACATAGTAAGGGACTCACCTGCCAGCGCCCTTTCGTATGCAAATCAACCAATCCAGAGCCTAAACCCTTAACCAACTCCTTTTATTGGGCTCTCTCAGAGATCTCACTTTCTGGGCCATTACCCACCTGCCCTAATCACCCCTGGAACAGGAACCAGACAACTAGATACTCCTACGACCAGAGCCTTTTGAAATTATCCAAACGAGCCAATTCTAAACCTGCTTATTCTGCTTTGTCTGTTCCTCCCACAGAAACCACAATAAAGGTGCTTGCCCATGTTTTCCTCCAGCTTGTTCTACCTCCTGACTGGCCCTTCTGCTTTCCCAGCTGGCCTCCTGTGTATAGTGTGGCATGCTACGCCTCCTGTTCCTATGGATCTATGAGTATTTAGAAAAGCTTCTCCCCTCATAACAGTCATTTCCATGTCTATAAAACATATCTCAAGTACCCTTAAAAGATAGCAGACACAGAACTGATAGGACTTACATAACAATGCCACTTAAACCTTAAATTTCAAAGAACTTCCACCTATATTTTCTAATTCAATTCTTAAAATAACTTGTAAGATACTTAATAGTCATATTTTACAAGTAAGAAAGCTTAAACTCAAAAGTCAATTTAAATGCTCAAACTCGTCCAATAATTCACAGGCTATTAATCTGTACATTAAAGTTAATAATAGTATGTATCTTGTAAAGTTAAGGTGATGATTAAATTAGTCCTTACTTCTAAGTAAAGTTAGAAGTAAGAAGTTAAATTGTAGACACGTTCATGTTAGGTATCAGTGGTATCTTGGTGGAGCTGTCTGGTGGCAGTTGAAAATGCAAGAGTAAAGTAAATTTGAAGGAACAGAAGTGAGAGCTAGAGATTCAGATTTGAGAATTTTTGCATGGAGATGATAATAAATGAACAGAGTCCCCAAATAAAAACCTAAAGGCACAAAGAGAAGGTAACAGAGCCAAAGGAAGAAACTGGAGATAGTAAAAGAAATCAGAAAAGAGGCATTGACTTTTGACTTGTGACTTTTGACTTATGATTTTTGACTTTTGAAACCTTGTGGTCACTCATTATTGACCTTTGAATAGTTTCTGTACCAGAAGTAGAGACAACAGACTGCAAGGGTTAAAGAGTGAACATAGACGTTTCTGGTCCAACAGGTAAAGACCACAAAAGTCACTAATCTTATTTTTATCACAAGAAAAAGGCTTAGCAAACTGAAAATCAACACGTCTTTTTAGATCCATCAGATCAGTTTATAGACAAACCACTAGCCAGAAAGCTGGACAAGCAGGAGAAAACAGAGAATCACAACTTACAGACACTCCGAATGGGGCCAGGGAATGGTAGGAAAACTTAAAGGGTAATTGACTAATTGCAGGAGACTGAGTGTAAACTGATTTGAAAGATAAAATCTCCCAGGGCCCAGCCTCATAGAGGCCTACCATGACACTCATCAGGCTCTCAGGAAGAAGATCAAAGAAAAGCACCCTCATAATTCCAGCAGGGGGATAGGCATGACCATTCTAAAATATACCCAGAATGTTCAGTTTTTCTTAACAAAGGTCTACTCTCAAGGAAAATTATTTTAGCAGAGCCTCATCAACATGTGGGAAGGGAAATACACAACTCCAAGTCCCCCTAGACCTCTTGTTTCACCCAAGGAAAAAAATCTGAGAAACACTTATGAAGGTCACAGCCCAGGGTCAAAGGCCAACTAAAAGACTAAGACTTAATTACAGGATTATGGAACACTTCTTCTCCAACCAACATCTTACCACCACACCACCAGGTCTCCAGTACAATAACAGGGGATTGAAATGGGAAGAACTACAAAGCTCAGACTCCATGATGGAGTCTCTAGGGGAACCTAAAAAAAGAGACAAAAACGAGGACACTAGAGGAAATTGAAGCCTCATAAACGTACTGCTACAGCAAACACAGCCTAATCCCTAGCCAGATAAACACAAAACCTCACACTAAGGGCTTATTTACCTCAGTTCATATTACCTGATGCAACATGTTCAGCTTTCAACAGAAAATTACAAAGCATATCAATGGGCAAAAAAGAAGTCTGAAGAAACAAAGCAAGCATTAGAGCAGACTAAGATTGGCAGAAATTTTGAAATTGTCAAGATTGGGAAATAAAATAATTGTGAGTAATATCGTAAGGACTCTAATGGAAAAAAGGTGGACAGATAACATGAAAACTCTAAGAAAGAATCAAAAGGAAATGAATGAACATGTAAATAAGTAGAATAGAGGAACTATTAAGTAGAATAGAGTGGTGGTTTTTACCACAAGGGGAGATTGTTAAGCTAGTGGGAAAGATCTAATACAGGAAAAATTAGAGAAAGTGGAAAATTGATAAATACATGTTTTATGGGATCCTTTCTGAGATCAGCATTAAGTCTTAAAAGGAGGAAGATGAGAAATAACATATTAGGTCAAATCAATGGTTGTAAACATTGAAGTCTGTGAAATTTTGCTTTAACTGGATAACATGGCTATCTCAAAATATGAAGGTTATACTACTTCCCATCTCCCACCTGATTCTTTCTTCAATAGGTAGTCTCTTAGGAATTTGTCATTATTTAAGAAATTCCCAAGAGAATTCAGGAATTCAACTTAATTTTACTTTGAGATTTCCATACCTACAAGTAAAAACAAAAACCAGACAGGATGCACAGTAACCAATATCACTGAAGTACATCATTCATTCGTTCAGTCAGCAAATATTGAGTGCCTTCTTCATTCAAGGCAATAGCAGTGAACAAAACAAAAATGCCCCATGGAGTACCATAGTTTGGGTGAAGATGCACTGATGAACATGTATATTATACATCGGGTAGGGATAAATTTTATGGATAAGCTGAAACCAAGGTTGAGGAACTGGAAGTGCTGGGAATTAGAAGTATTATTATTTTATGAGGGGTGGTTAGAGAAGGACTTTTTGATAAGATGACATCTAAAGGAAATAAGTGAGTCACGACACTATCTGGGGGTACCATATTCCAAAGAACAGCAAATACAAAAAAACAAAAAAACAAAAACAAAAAACTCTGCAAATGCGTAGGCCTTAAAGTGGGAAAATAATGTGCCTGATATTGTTGTGGAACAATGAGCCAAAGGGAAGAGTCCAAGGTGAGATCCTTTGGGACTCTGTAATGATGTGAAATTTTAGTCTGAGTGAAATGGGAAAAACTGGAGGGTTTTGAGAAGAGCACAGTGACTACCATGTGTAGGGTGTTAGTAAGACCATCCAGGGGGTTACTGTAATGTTACAGGGACTTCTATTAGAGCGGTAGTTTCCATTTATTTTGCAGGTAGAAATGACAGAATCTGCTGATGGAGTGGGGCATTAGAGAAGTCAAAGGAAACTCCAAGGTTTTTTTACTGGGTAACTGGAAGAGCAGAAATTGTCATTTACTGAAATGACAAAGACTGCAGAGTAGATAAGAGGGGGAATTAGTTTAGTTTTGCATACGAATTTTGAGATGTCTATTGACTTCTAAGTGCAGATGTTGATTTTATTAAAGTCTGGTTTTTGGAAGAGGTGCTGGCTAGAGATATAAACTTGTGAATCATCAGCGTATAGGTGATTTTTAAAGGCATAAGGCAATAGTGAAGAAAAGGGGTTTAAAAACTGACCCCAGCAACACTCCAATATTTAGATATGGGAAAGAAGAAAAAGTACCAGCAAAGTATTTTGAAAAGAAGTAGCTATAAAACAAGGAGAGAACTAGGGAGGAGTGGTGTCCCAGAAACCAAATGAAGTGATTCAAAATTCGAGATGTGGAAGGGTTAAGAAGAAACTGAGAAATGGCCATTGCATTTCGATGGACGCCTACTGCTGACCTTCACAAAAACTATTTTGTGGAGTGGTAGAATGGAAAAAAGACGCTGAGAACCATATTCAAGAAAGAATGTATGGTTCTCTCCCAAGAATTTTCAAGTTCTGTTAAAGAAAGATTAGCTCAGGTGGAGATTGGAGGAGAGATGTTGAAGGTCTGAGAAGAGAGAACAAAAGTGGTCTGGAAGTGTGGGAGAGTGGATTAATGAGGAATCTTTAATGCAATTTCTGGGCATTACTAAGGGACCATTTGTTATAAGCAAAAAAAGTCCACAGAGCTGTGTGCTCTTCTCCAGCCTCTCGTTCAAGTGTTGCAGAAACGGCAGAACGTCGCGAGCAGTAATGGGTTTTAAGCCACGATGGCATGAGGAGGCAGAATAAACTTCGACTACAGAGCATACATAGTCAAGTTCAGTCTGGTGGCTCACTGAACCTGAGGATTGATACGGGCAACAAGCATGATGCAGCTGACCGGAAAAACAACTCCAGAGTGTTAAGGAGGAAGAGCGGCTCTAAACAAAGCCGATCTTTTCCCGTAGAGCAAACACAGCAGTTTGGGGGTTGAAAAAGTCTGTACTAAGCCAAGTTAGGGGACATTGCCGCATGAGAGCTTCGAGGGCTGGCTGAAGCCAGACGCAGAGAGAGACAGGATCTATAAGTGCTTTCTCCGGGACCCAGGAGGGACTAGGTTTTAGCGCCGGAACTTACAACCAGAGGTTCTGCTGCTTGCGGCTGTTTACTGGAGAGACAGGCATGGTGGCGACAGGCTTTGGAGTGATCGGCCACCCCCTTCCCTAGCTGCTTCTGGCGTCCCTGTACCCCAACCCCCGGCGTTAGCGGCTCCGGCTGAGGCTCGGGAATGTTTTCCGGGCGTCATGGAGACGGAGGAGCCCGGGCTCAACAAGCGGCCCCGCGGTTGGCTGGCGGCTGGAGACCGAGGAGGAGGGCGGAGGCGGAGGGGAGGGCAGAGGGTTGGTGGAGCAAAAGGAAGCTCCGGACGACGACTAGAAAAAGGAGGCGGGCGGCCAGGGCCCCAGGCCCCTCCCAGGTTCTGAGTCTCCCCGGCTGCAGGCGGATGGATGAGGCTTCTTCAGGCGGTGGCGGCAGCAGTGAAGGTGGCGGCGGCAGCAGCGGCAGCGGCTGTAAGTGCAGCCTCCATAAACCATCTCTCCTCTCCTAGTCCTGATTGGGATGAGGGGCTCCTAAAGTGTCCTCAGTCCCCTTTCTCTCCTTCCCCTCCCCCACGGTAGAGCACCGCCCGGAAGACCCTTAACTTCCGGGGAGGGGCTGCAAGAGAACGCGCCCGGCCCGCTTTCCCCTCCCGGAGAGCACCGGCCACCCCCCAAGGCGCATGCGCAGCCGACCTCCACCGCGCACCCCCTCCCACCCTGGTCTTTTGCTTTGGCAGTGGCGGCGGCGCGGATCTTCCCTGGCGTCGCGGCGCGCCGGGAATCCGCTGCGGTGTGAGTTAGTCTCGCCCAGTTCGCTTCCGCACCTTTCTCCTTTCGGCCCCGGAATCCGGTCGGGGTGGGGCTAAGCTGACCATCCCCCTGTGGCTCCGCCTCTTTTTCCCTGTAGATCTGGGTTCGGTCCCAGCCCTCCGGAGGCTCCTGCTCGCACCGCAGTCCCCGTGGTGAGCGGGGTCCTGGGCGAGCCAGCTCTTTTCGGAGGGAGTGAGGGAGGGAAGAGAGACTGGAAGAGGGCATTAATATGAAGGAACTAGGTCCTCCCGGTCCTTGTGAAGATCTTTGGGGACAGATGCCTCCCCCTCCTTGAAATGGCCTTGTTCTTGCAGCTTTTCGTGGAAAGATCTCTGGCTTGGAGCCCATCTCTGGTCCCCGTTTGCTATGTGACCTTGGGCGAGTCACTACCCTTCTCCGGGCCCCTGTTAGCCCTAAAGCTTCCTCCAACGCTAAAACTCTTAATTTTGCAGAAAAGCTTAAGCAGTTACAAGACTGGCCCGTCTACTGAGGCCGCTTTGCCCAGATGACGTGGAGTTGACCGAAACTTCTTTCTTCAATCATGGATGGAATGAAGCGACCTATGTATTGGGTCGTTTTTATTATTTTACCATCGGTTTCAAATTGCATGTCTCAAGGCTCATTAATGTTTTCCTAAAATTGTCATGGGATCCTTGTCCTAATTCCTGGCCATCTTTTTTAAAATTAGAGACAGGCTGAGAATTAGAGACATGGTGAGCTTGTGGTATCATCATCTCTGGTCTCGTAACTACTGAGGCTCTCTTTCCTTTGATCCAGATGGTGTGGTGGCTCGATTCTCCCAGTGCCTGGCTGAGTTTCGGACGTGGTTAAGAACCAACTGGTTGAGGTTCAATGCAGACAAGACGGATGTGATGCTGGTAGGCAGGGGCACACTTGGAGATTAAGGGAGGGAAAATCCAAACTCCCTCAAGTAATATAAATATTACATTACTCTTTCTGTATATTACAGTGTTTGAGAACTGATGATGGGCCAATAATGTCCAGAGTTGGGTGAGATAAAAATAACCTGTCAACAGTATTAGGACTATAAAAATAAGTTTGTTATAGTCTGATAAAATGGGGCCACTCGATAAAACTCTTCATGTAAAAATTATGAAAAAAACCAAACTGTTTTTTGAAGAACCAAAAGGCTATGTAAGTGTTTTGGGGTGACATTAATAATAAAAACCAAACTAACAAAAAGATGATGCTGATTCTTGCATAGATGTGGGGCTTCCAAATGTAATGCATTACTGCTTTGTAACGTGCATTTTGCCTACTAAAGTAAAGGTAAATCTCAATTTATCAAAAACATCCTTTTTAAGTTTTTTGATATTTAGGTATTTTCAACCAAATTAGTAGATATTCATCAATTTTTACCTGCACATCATGTGTAGGTTGACACTTTGAAATAAAAATACCAAATAATCTCAAAAGGGGCTCATGGACTCCGAAAATAGCTGGGTAGAGAATTTGTTTTTATGGTTTCGAGTGTGCTGCATTAATGTTTCATTCAAACAGCCCTAGAGTCTAAATTGTTAAAATATTTTCTTGGAGCATTTTGAGAGGTTCCTGAATTGCATAACATTTTGTTTATGTAGTATAGGTATATAGTACTTATATTTGAGTCAGGTATTGGTACTGAATAAAAGGTTATATTTCTTAGGTATATGTAAATTACCAGACTTTTACTTTTTGGTTAGTTTAAGGTACTGGTTGAAGTAAAATTGTGACCTTAAAATGCTTTTCTTAAAAGCAAAATAACTGAGGGTGTGTGTGTGTGTGTATGTATGTATGTTTATTATAGCTTCTATAAAAATGTTTAATAACTTTTTAATGGAGTATTTAGTAAATTACTTAAAAATAATTTCCCAATATAACAGCAGTTTTGAGAAGCTTAAATGTGGTGAAAGTTAATGTTAGTTTGCTTGAAAATAAGGAAGCATTTAAGATAGGGAATGGGAGCTCAAGAGGCATTTATTCAGGCTTTGTATAGTGATTTTTTTGTTTTGGGACATTAGCCACAAACCTCACATAAAATTGGAATTAACTACACTTTTTAGTTTAACTTTAGATATTTTACTGTACAATTCTAACAATACCATTTTGGAGATCACATTAATAAATACTATAAACTGTAATGATTTTAAACATTTTATAGGTATTGGTGAATTTTCTCATACCTTTAACTCTGTCATGTCTTGTTTTTAGGTTTTCTAGTATCAGTAGGCATTAAAGATTTATATTTTGTTAACCCAAGTATAAATAATGATTGCACTTAAATACAAAGAAGACATCTGTTGAATTAATCCAAAGTGCTAAAAACCTCAGGGAAATGGATGGAAGTAACAAGGAGATAGATTCTGGTTTAATAAAAAGGAGAATGTTCCAAACATACAGCTTTTTCTGAAAAGAGCAGCCTCTTCATCAGACAGTAAGTCATTGGAGGTGTTTTAGCATAGGCAGAAAAGCCTGGTAGTGGGGACACATAATGAGGGATTCCTACCTAGACAGGGTAGAAATTGACTAAAAGACCTCTAAGGACCCATCTAACACTAAGATTCTGTGGCTAATGAATAGTTAATTTTTTACATATTTGATACTGAACAGGTAAGCAAGAGTTTTTGAGAAAGACTGCTTTCCTTAAAGTGGCTCCTAAAATTTTGAAAGACAAGTATATCATGAGAATAAAATGGGAATAAAACCATACTGAATTCATTAGTAATGTGTTACTAATGACTTACAATATTGGAACTATTTCTCTTTATTTTCATAATATCTGAACGTAAAAAAAAGCACTGAGCCCACATGTATTAAAAAAAGGAGGAAAAAATGTAGAGGGACTTTTTCCCCCAAATGATAATGCCACTTAAAATTAGTAAAAATGATACACAATATTAATAAACTTAAAAGTCATTTATCAGTAAGAGGGATACACATTCAAGTATGTCCCAGATTTGATTTTCTTGACAACTTCAGAATTCATTCAGTAGCTTAAGGGACCACGATCCCCAGCTTTTTAATCACAATTGGGATTTTTTGTTGAGGTTTACCTGAAGAATCAAAGAGTAAATGGGATTAAGCAAGCAAGTTATTCCTGTACCTTGCATTTTGACAACACTTTTTAATTTTCTTTTTGTGAACTAGCTAAATTTCATGTATTAGCTTTGGTAGTTAAATGGAAAATCCTCCTTTATCCCCATGGTATTGTGAAGCCTGAGTTTCTACCTCTAGGCCCCTTATTCTGTCTTTACCCACCCCAGGTCTATGCACATCAGTTGTTCTTTGCCTTCAGCTATTTTCCATCAAGCACCTCAAAGTCAAAACTAAGCACAAGCTGACTTTTCAGAAAATGATTTTTGAGTCCAAAGGACTAAGGTAATTCAGTAGGGTAACTCTATGTACCTATACTAAAATACTTATTCCCCCAAGAAATCCTGAAAAACACTTTTATAGTATAAGTATTCTAAAAAAATAAAATGAAAATACTGTACAGTACAGTTAATGGTAAAAATTGTTTGTAGATTTGGGAACCTTAAAGTTTTCCTTTCTCTTCTTTCCCTTGCTTTTCTTTCAGTAGAAAATGTGCATCAGATGTTTATGTTTAATTGGTTTACAGACTGTCTGTGGACTCTTTTCCTGTCAAATTACCAGGTAATGTCCTTTCACTTAGCAGCTACTTCATATACCTATAAATGCACAAATTATTCATGCACAAATTATTGGACATAAGAATTTCAAACTAATGTTGAATCTTTGGAAAAAGGAAACTGCTTAATAGAGTCTAGAATTTTAAGGGAATACAAATAATTTAAGAAAACAGCCCATATTGCATTGTAAGTTAAGTATGAAAGAAAAATTGTATATGTGCACATTTATGCAGTATATGTAGGGCCGGCATTACATTATTTGGAAGGAATGACTTTTTATATTTGACTGGTTGATTTGGGTAATCATTTTTGAAATTGCATTAAGAACCCTTGAACATTTTGGGGGAAAATGGTCTTTTTGAAATTAAGATTTTTAAACTCCTGGTTTAGTAAAATATGTTACTGCATGTTTTAATATCACCTTTGCAATACCAGTATCTGCCTTAGTAATGGAAGGGAAACATGTTTGTTATTTTGCAGTCATTGGCTGGGCAGTCATTAGCATTGGCATCAAGGCCAATTGGTAGTTCTAGGCCAATATTTTAAAATAAACTTTCAAATTGCTGGCATTTCAGGCATTGCAAATAAGTAGGTTTTCCCTCTATGGAGTCAATTCAGAGATCCATCAAATAGCAGCTTTTTAGTATTTCGCATTCTGGAATTTTCTCTAGTTGTGCAAAATTCAAACGTTGCACAATTACGTTGCTCCTGGCATCTCAGGAAGTGTGTGGGGGAAAAGCAAATGAGATGTGAGGATGGCAGACTACCTTTTCACAGTCCCTTTTCTTAATCTCTGCTCTGACCTCTAAGATTTGGGGATGTGGGATTTTACATTTCCTGTCAGGAATCAACCGAGAGAGAGAGAGAGAGAGAGAGAGAGAGAGAGAGAGAGAGAGAGGAAGAGAGAGAAATACTTGTCAAGAGACAGCCGCTTTCAAAGCGCGCCACTTTGCGCTGTTGCCGTTGTTGCATCACAGCAACATCCGTTTTCCAGCAAATGCACTTCAAAAAAGGCCTACATGTAAAATATAACGTATCTTTTCCCCTGCGATGTGAATGCTGGACGCGGCTTTTTTGGCACTTTTCCTTGACCTCTCTGGTCCCCTTAGGGCCCTCTCCAAGCTGGAGTCGCGGATCCGCTAGCGCAGGGGAGGCGCCCCGCGCTGAGCTGCCCACCTCCCCCCTCAAAACCCACCTTGACTCCGCCCCCTCCGCGCTCCTCCCGGGGAAGGCTGCCGCGGGGTTGCGCGCGCGCGCCCCTCCTGTCGCGCGCGCGCGCGCCGGCCTTTTCCTTCCAGTCCTGCTCAGCCGGGCCGCCGCGAGGGGGCGGAGTGGGGTGTGGTGGGCGCGCTCGGGCGGCTCCTGCGCGTTCCCGCCGAGGCAGCAGCGGCGGCGGGAGCGGCAGAGACGGCGGCAGCGGCTGGAGTCCCGTTGCCGAGTCTCACATCCGGGTTCTGGCCGTGACCCAGCTGCGGCCGCCGCGGAGATGTGACCCGTCAGTACGGCAAATATGGCGGAGGTAAGGGAGCGAGCTCCCCCTCCCCGTCCCGGAGCCGGGCGCCCCCGGGCCCTGGCCGGGGAGGAGTGGAGTGGGCCTGGCTAGGAGAGGCCCAGCCCTGCTGGCGCCACTGCCCACCTGTTGTCCGGAACAGGCCGCGCTCTGGGCGGGAGCTTTCCCTGGAACTTAGTTGGGATGGGTTCGTGGGTAGGAGGAAGCGGAGGCGTAGTAGGACTTCGGGGGCAGTTTGAAGGGTCGAGTGCTGCGTAGTAGTGTGTGCGGAAAGGGGTGAGGGGGAGTGGGCGCCCGCGGGGCAGGGGCGTCGGTGGCGCAACTTCGCCGGCCGGTGCTAGGGGCCAAGAGAGGAGCTACTGCTTCCTCTTCTTGCGAAGTTTCTTCCCTCCCTCACCGAGATGCTGTTGCGCCCTTCCGCGTCACCCCCACCCGTTTGCTACTGACATCCAGTCTGTGTTAATGGGGAAAACGTAAGGCAGAATGGCCTTTAACTCTCGTTTTCCTGATGGTGTTGATGAGCGTGGAGAAGTAAACCTGGCCTTTCGCAGGCCGGCCGTTTAGGTTGGGGGACTCTCCCTCTATCTCTGGAACAGTTCCATTTCTTCTCAGGGTAGAACCTCTTTTTCTCTCTTCACATTTCAGAAGAGTTGCTTTCTACCTTTCCCTCTCTTCACTTTCCAGGCATTCCCTCCACCCCTTTCATGTTAAGGCTATCTATTATTGTCTTTCTCTTATTAATATTTTTTTTTTACCCTTGTGGGGAAAAAAACGAGTTCCCCCAACAAACGAGTTACCAAAGCCCCCTTTCTTCGGTGATAATTGTTTTATGTTTTTGGGCTTCAAATCGTGGCGAACTACCACTCTTAATGATTGTTTCGAACTTAGTGTTGTGCCACTGGAGATTTAAATTTTTGTTTCTGATTTGAACTTTTACACATTCGATTTTTTTAATACTTTTTTCCCCCTTACCTTCGGAAGAATTCCGTTATTCTTCACCCCCTAGAGTTGAAGAAGTGATAGTATTTGGGGTTTTAATCTACTTTGAGTCAGAGCCTCACTAAATGATTAAGGCATTTCCTTGTATGAATTCCCATTTTCATGGTCTCGGAGACACCCCAAAACAGATTCAGGAATAGTTTTGTTTTTTTTTTTTAACCATCCAGCCCCCAATTTTTGTGTTATTTGATAAATGAAGTCAGTGGTGAATTATTTGGTAATACCATATTATCTCCTTTTTAAACCTTGGGATACAGAAACGTGTAAATTATGGAAAAATATTAATTTCGACGCTTTTTATGTCCTGGTGAGTAGAGGGACTTAAAAGTTAGCCTTTTGTGCAGTTGCTTTTAGTGTGCTCCTTCTTTCCTTATAGAAACTGACTTTATATTAATGTAGTGGAGTATTTGCTATTAAAGGAGCAGATTTCACTATAGCAGGACTCTTTGCTGCCAGTAATCTTTTTAAGACATTTACTACTTTTGATTTAAAACTAAATTTAGATCTTAGGTTTATTTCCATTTCTTTTGTTCTTTGTGGTTAAAGAATTGTATTTCAAGGCACATAAGTTGGAGAAAACATAGTACTTTGTATTTCACTTAAATGTGACTGGATTCATTCCACTGGGCTGAAACAATTTTAGTCCTGGTAAGATTTTAAGTGTTTCTTTTTTCATATGTAAGAGGGGGAAGGGGTTGTATGTGGCTGAATTTACCTACCTTTTGTCAAATAGTGTTCAGTGGATTCCCCTTTCAGTGAATGCCTATTAGATAAGCAGCAGTGACGGTTTCTTCCATGGTGGTGTTGCTCACAATGGTTTGAGCTTTAAGTTCTGTAGTCACATTTTAAGGCAAGCTATTATAGAAGGAAAATCACTTAGAGTTTGCAAATACAGTAAAATTTAAGTTTAAGAAACTTCACCCATAAATTTTAACTGCTGGCACACTGAAAACTTAGTATGTAAGTAGAAGTATATTAATATTTTTTTTTGTTTTAGAAGCTAAAGATGATTGCATTAATGTAAGAGAGGAAAAGCAATATTTTGAGTCACTAATCATTTCCTAATATTTTGAAGGGTTTGTTTTAGTTTTCTTAAAAATTGGATCAGTTGGAGAATGGAATGCTCATGTTAAGTAGGAACACATGGATGGTTCAATTTCAAGAAGAGAAAACCTGAACTTTGTTTTCAGTGCATTTATTTAGTGACCTGAAATCTTTAAAAAAAAAATTTGTCTTTTATAACTTCAGTTGCTTGTAGATGGTTTTATTTTTAGTGAATTTGGAGGAAGAATGGGGGATCCTTCTTCATTCATCTGTGTCCTGCAAAAAATCTAAAGCAAGTGAAAAAATGAAAAGTAAAATTTGTATTTTTCTGATCTCAATATTTTAGTAATCAGGATGATTTTAGAGACTAATCATTTTTAAAAATTATGTGGAGAAATGCTTGGTGTATAGAGGGCTTTTATTTGCTATTGTGTGAGCTCTCAGGAGATTTGTTCATGATGCCAGTATAAAGTATGTGGTAAAATAAATGTGCTATTGTACTTTTGGTTAAGTAGACTTGAACATTGAAGCTAACTGGTGAAATAACAGAAAATGCAGAACAACAATATACATTTATTTGATAAATCTGAGGGGAAAGCAGGTTATTGAGGAAGTATGTCTCTGGAGAAAAATGCAGATATTATGCTTCTGGGTGTTTTTATTGTTGTTATTTTTTCCATAGGAGAATGACCCTGACCTTGTTTTTCCAGAGAAATGTTTACTTCCTGAATGCAAATTGATTTAGATGTAAATAGAATATACTGATTTTTCATACTTGATCTGATCATCTTAGGCAGTCCATAGTAGGAAGTACGTATTTAATGGTTCCTCAAATCGTGGTAACATTAACAACATATTTAATGTGATTAAAAGAAATGGTACATACTCCCTTTGTTAATAGTTTTTAGTAATATTTCTCATTACTTATTATCCCTTAGAATTATTTATCAACCTTCCAAAAGGAGGTTCTCCTAGTTACACTTAAAGGAAGGAAATTACAGGGTAGTTGCAGTTTTACGAAGGGAATGAGAAAGGAAGAAATCGTTGATCCTTTGGGTTTTATAAGGAATGTGGTGTAGGGACCTTTGGGAATGAACAATTTGTTATTTCAGAGTTTGTAAACACAGAAGGGACTGCTCCAGGAAAAAAAAAAATCCACAACATGGTGCAAGACGCGTATCTTTTCACCTAGGCCATATTGCTGTTATATAAAGAAAAGAAAATTTAATGAACTTGCATTTCTGTATTAGTTTTAAGTATTTAATCATTTCCAAAAATTATATACATAATCTGTTTAATTGCATCTATTGCATCTGTTCATTTATTTCTCTTGAAAACAGACTGCTTGCTTAGTGGTTTTTTAGTGTATTTGAATTTCATTTTTTAAGGAAATAGGATCATCTTGACTGCTATTCTTGATAGTGTTAATTTCAGTTGTAAACAAAACTTGTTTCACTGTGATGGATTTAGGCTTTAAATAATTCTCTGTAGTGGTAATGAATTTTTTTTTTAATATTTATTCTTGATGAACACCAGTGTATGAGAATCTAATAAAGTTTAATTCAGAAGGAGTAATAAAGTGCTTGTTAAGGTAGGAAAGGTTAGCTGGAGGAAATATAGAAGTGGATTACTTTTAGAGAATTTTTGAACTGAAGACTCATCAGTTTCTCAAATCAGAAATAAAACACTGCCATTGAAGCAAGTAACTGATTAGTAAAAGTAGAAAAATAGTCATCTATATAGAAATTTCTTGCTTGGTGCTAACTTGAGTCCCTGTATATTTCAGTGTTTATTTGCAAATGTTTTCAAAATTCATTGCAATGATTAAGCTGTTCAGGTACCAGTCATCACTTGGGACCCATTCTGTTTGACTTATTCTATGGCTTATAAGAATGACTTAAAATTATGTTTGTGTAGATAGGAAATTCATAAAGTAGCACCTCCCAGAAAGCTTTTTGCAAATTGAGATAATTTTTTTCCAAAAGTCCTAGATTAAAAAAAAAATTTAGAAGAGGCTGTTAAACATATCCCATCCCTTTAGCTAAGTATTCCTAAGTAGTAGTATGTCTTTTGAGCAAATCATAATAGTAAAGAAGTTAGATCTCAAAGGAAATTGAACTAGAAGAAGTGTAAATCTTTCTATCTTAGGGAAAATGAAACTGAGCAGAGTTAATGCAGTTTGTCCTAGGTTGTGCATTTAGGCTGTGGCACAATTAAGAGTGGGACCCAGGCTTCTGAATTCCTAGTGCTTAATAATAGCAGTTCATCCCCTGAATTATTATTACTGTAGTCAGTTTGCTAGTTTTACCACCAAGATTTTCTTAATCTTTTTTATGCTCCAGTATTCCTCAGGGGAAAGAAGAGACTTAGTTTTGTATGGAGGAAGAGAAATGGTGAGCACAGTTCCCCTGTCTTCCCCACCTGGAGGAGGGCCTCTAACTCCTTCCTGGCTTCTATCCCCATAACTGTGAGAATCTCTTATTTAGTGTCTAAATTACCTAGGCAGGTGATGATAACAAAGAAATGGTGATGGAATTGGTTTGAGGGGAGAAATTAGTTCAGACAGGTATGTTCATTGAAAATATGCTTTTGATTGCCTGGAATATAGGAGTCTAATGATTACTTCATGTTTTTACTACCTTATTTTTTTTTTAATAATGATAATCTAGATTACCATGTTCTAGAAAAATACAAAAGAGAAACATTTGAACAGATCTGAGGCATTGAATTTGTTACAGCTATTAGCAACTTCATCAACTAAATCATATATATGGGTAAGGGTATAAAAGTTAACAGTTTCATTTTTTAATTTGATTTAGCTTACTCATACTCTGTGTGACTGTCTAGTGTTATGTTTTCCATCTCAGATAATTATGTATGTACCTAAAAGAAAACTAGGTTATTTTTCTAAATTACGCACTTGTTAAAAAAAAAAAGTAGCAAGTACTAAGTTTTCTTAAAAATCTAGAAGTAGAGGAAGAAAATGAAAATAACTAATAATTCCACAAGATAATCTCTACTAACTTTCTTTAAAAAAACAAAACAAAACAGTAATGCTAACAAGTGGTTAGAAAATTCCAACAGGGTAGAAAGGTATGAATGAAAAAACCTCTCCCCTACCCATTTCCTAGAGGTATTTACTGTTAACAGATTCTTGTATATACTTTTGGAGAAAAAAATTTTCATGTGTATTCTAGCCCAGTTTACCCCCCTTTTTACGAGAAGACTGTTAAATGGAATAATTATTGGAGTTTTATTGGCTTAAAAAAACCCCAAATGTTCAAAGAGCCATTTCTTTTAAGCTCCTAATGTTTTTTTGTTTTGCCCTGCAAATCATTTCGAAAGTTTATTAAAAAGGAAAAACAGCACTGTAAGGCTACTTTGTGGATGGCGAACCTGGAACCAGATGAAGATAGTCATCATTGCTGTAGCCTTGGACAGATATTGTGCTTAAACTTGGGAAATAAAGCATAATTGCATGACATAAAAGTGGATTGATACTTTAAAATATTGATTTGCTCTGTTAATAATTTGTGTGGTGGTTGAATCCATTTTGAGCTAGAAATGTGTAGCTCTCTGCCCAAAAGATCTAGAAACCCTTTTTATAGTTACATTACTCTGTCACCCTGCTCTCCAGCTTCCTGTTAGAGGAATAGAATTAAAAAGTAGCACTGTTTTAACTCTATTGTGGCAAAGTAACTTTTAAGTAAAGATAGTGGTGTGACACTTGAAAATCTATTAATACTGAATACTGTCAAATAAAAGACGACTATAACATATAGTCAAGAACCATTCTAAGCATTAGAAGGAAAAAAAATAGGACCCTTGGAAAAGTGTGCTTCAAAAGAACCTAAGTTATCATGTATAATCTAGAATGTCATACCTAGTACAATAACATAATGTGGACAGTTTTCAAAATGGAGTTTTAATACTTTATAAGAAATTTGTCTTAGATGCCTAGCTTTTGAAAATTAGGCACTTTCCTCGTTTTATTTTGTTTTTTCTTGACTCTCTGCCCCATTACTCAGCAGAAAGAGGGAAAATACAGATCTTCGTCAACTTATGATGGGGCTGTGTCCTGATAAGCCTATCATAAGTTGAAAGTATCATTAAGTCAAAAATGCATTTACTATACCTAACCTACTGAAAGAACATCTTAGCTTAGGCTAGCTTATCCCAAACATGCTCAGAATACTTAATTAGCCTACACTTGGGTAGAATCCTCTAACACAAAGCCTATTTTATAATAAAATGTTGAGTATCTCATGTAATTTATTGAATACTAGACTGAAAGTGAACAACAGAAAAGTTGTATGGGTACACAGTGGTTATAAGTGTATTGGTTGTTGTTTACCCTCATGATTGCATGCCTGACTGGGAGTTGCAGCTTGCTGCCACTGCCCAGCTTCACAAGATAGTATCATACCACATATTGCTAGCCCAGGAAAAAAATCAAAATTTGAAGTTCAGTTTCTACTGAACACCTATTGCTTTTGCACTGTCGTAAAGTTGAAAAATCATTAAGTTGAGCCATCATTGTTGGGGGCTATTTGTACTAGAATAACCCTATCTCTTTGCTAATGCTTTGGGCCTTCCAGCATCTCTGACTTCTAATGGGCATGAAATAGCTCTGAATGAATAGGAAAGGTTTTAATTATGAAGTGTATGTCATTTGAAACATTTAGTTTTTGTTATTTATAGAAGTTTGTGTTTGTAGATGACTTGTTTATAATTATAAATTAACTGAATTTAGATAAAATGTAGCTGCAAATTGTCAAGTGGTAATATTACTGAAATAAGTTGCTAGCTAGCAATTTTATCTTTAAATTTTCTAAGTGCTTATAGTTAAATATATAAGGAGTAGAATGCTACAGTAGAAGCAGCATTTTAATTGGGAGTGTTTGTAATTTTTCCATCAGATAACTTGACTTTAGCTTGAAGCTTACTAATTCTGTGATAATTTAAAAATATGTTGTTTGTGAGTAAAGTTAACCTAATGTACTGTTTGGTGCTTAATAACATTTTACTTTTTCCTTTTGCTTTCTTAAAATATAACTTTTACTTAAAATAATGTCTTAAAGTGTTTTGGCCTCCCTTCTCCCATACATTTTAAGCCAGAGACCAGCTTGATAGCAAACCTTGTGTGTAATTTCCTCTGTCTTGATTGGAGAAAATATTTTAGAAAGTTCGAAGATCTAAAATCAGATCTCTTAAACTACATATTTTATGAGACCCATATTTGCCTTTAAAATCTGAATTCCTTATTGTTGTCTTTGTTTCTAGATTCAGGAATGTTTGGAATTTTTTAATGTTTAAATATAATGTCAGAGAAAGGATTATATGGAAGGTTTTAGTTTGTCTTGGACAATTCAGACATTAGAACTTACTGTGGTTTTTGGTGTCATGCTTGTCATTGAATAATTCCTGTAAATTTTGTAAAGAATTACTAACAAAGATGATAATTTTTCTTCTTTTCTCCCCCTCCCCCAGCCATCTGTTGAGTCTTCGAGTCCAGGTAAGTATTTTCTATATTTTCTATAATTTCTATTTGACTAACATTTGTCCTATTAGTTATAAAAAGGCTAGAGGAGTTAGACTATCATCTGACTTGCTTTTCTTCTGAATGCTTCTTTTCTCTGGGGAAAAAGAAATGGATGAAATATTTGACTGCCCATGAAAGTACAGGTGAGGCTGCTGTGAGTTCAACCTCATGACTATTTGTGGGTTCACTTTTTTTATGAATTACTATGTGTATTTCTTACAGGTTTTAATTGCTATTTGATTTCAAGTATGTATGAAGTGTATTTTTTCAAAAGAGTCACTAAGAAATATTTGCTTGTGTAGGAAACTCAAAGTATTTGAGAAAAAAATTAAATGCATTTAGTGAGGGAGAAAAAAATAATATAAGAACATTAAAAAATGAATAATGTCGTAAATCAAGGTTATGTTTAGATGCACACCATATAGCTTTGGAGTTTCGTATTCTCTTACAAATACAGTACAGATTCATTTTTTCTTAACTTAGAGGTTGCAAACGTGGTATTTGAACCATATCTGGGCCACACATGTTTTTTGTTTGGCCAGTGTAGTGATCTTAAAAATTAGAATGTTTTTTATATAAAATCTGTATTTAGGCTTCTTGTGATTAGTCAGAGTTCTAGCACTACTAAGTATAACATTCCTGTATAGCAACAATTGGTTGGAGCTGAAGAGCAGTCAGGAAAGAGTCTAGTCTTTGCCTCGGTGTCCAGGGACTTCAAGAGAGAGGACTGCCTTCTATAATGGAGTACGTGAATTAAGGAACAGCTCAGTATAGCATAAGAGTCAGAAAGGGAGCTCTCTGAGATAGGGTAGTGTTTTATTTGAAAACATGTCATATATATTGAATATTTAGGTATGATGTATTACTGAATTTTCCAGATTATTGAAGCAGTCTTTCTATGTTGTAAGTTTTAGAAAGAATGTTTGTAAAAATGCTTAATATATGCCTTTTGTAATGGTTTGGGGTCATTTTCAGGAACACAAATCACTGTACTCTGTGTAGTACAATGTATCAAGTAGGAGCTAGACTAGAATACCTCCAGATCCCTTCTAAATGGTTAGTGTGCTCCCAGTTGACTGTGAGTTTTGTCATATTTATTTCAGCTGAGATGTCTTACTCTTTCTAATATGCTTGGAAGTAAAGTATATTAGGCTTTGTGACATTTCTGTAACTCAAGGATTTTTTTAACTTCCTAGTTTATAAATATGTTCTGGATGGTTGAGGTTGGAAGTAATCTGACCTCAGATAAATAGTAGATTATTGTATCCTTTTTAGGACATGGAATTGTTCCCAATATTTTTTTTTCCTTTCAAACACAGACATCTTTTCATCAAAAAAATAGGTTCTAGTTTTTGTTAATGTTGTCCCACTGCAAATAGACTGAGTTTTAGATATATGTATTTTTAAGATTTATTTATTTGACAGAGAAAGAGAGAGGGATCACAAGTAGGCAGAGTGGCAGGCAGAGGGAGAGGGAGAAGCAGGACCCTGCTGAGCAGAGAGCCCAGTGCAGGGGCTCGATCCCAGGTCCTGATCCTGGGATCGTGACCTGAGCCGAAGGCAGACGCTTAACTGACTGAGCTTCCCAGGCGCCCAGAGATATTTTTCTGTGAATTTTTGAGACATTCATCAGGTAATATATAGGCACAAAAAAAGTAATTACTTCAAACGTGATATTAATAAATAGCTTTCTCATTTTCCATTGCATTTGAATCGGCTTAGGCTGAACTTGAATACTGGAGTTTGAAGAATAAAATATCTTTGATGGCCTTTACTACTTGCTGAATGCTTATACAAATAGATTGATTTTTTTTATTTTGTTTTGTTTTTGTTTTCAGACTAAGGAAAATCTTTTGAAGTAGTGTTTGTAATATCAGGCTTCTGCCCAAAGAGAATATATATTGTTCTTATAAGTAATACTAATTGTAGGCAGTTAACAAAAGTTGGTGGAAAAAGAGTAAGAATAGAGGCTTCTGTGTAAAAAAAATTTTTGGTCCACTGGTAAAAGGCTGTGGCCTTTGTAACATCTGTACTTTGGAATTGATGTTACTAATAATAATCACATGACCCAGGCTCAGTGGTTTATCTCTAGACTTTACCAGTGTAAACCTGTAGAGGCACAATACAGGGTTTTACCTGTAAGACTTGTAGCCAATAGAGGGGGGGAAATTTAGGGAAGGGAAGGAAATAAAATGATTAAATGAGTGCATATGATATGTTATAAACAGTTTATCTTTTGACTCTTTGAGAGATGTAAGATACCTTTTAGTAATTTTGCAGTAAGATGTAATTTTTTGACCAAACTGATCTTCGCCTTAACTCTGAAGCAAAATATTTATTTACACAAAGCACCAGATTCCCTACCTCTAATAATTTATTTAGGGATTTTTACCTTTAGGAGACAGCCTAACAGTGGGCCTAGTAATTAACAGAAAGGAATAGGCTGGTTAATTGGTTTCAACAAGTAAAAAAGGAGTCAGATGAAACCAAGAAGTCAGATTAAGGCAAGAAAAGAAGTGAAATTGAAAGTTAGTAGAAAACAGTGCGGTGTATATGTGGAGAAAGGATTGGAGTGAGAAGGGGAAAAAGGTTTACCTACCCTTTGGTATTTCATGTAGTGCAAGGGTGAGGTGGCAAAGCTTTGAATATAATTGCAAATGACAACAAAAAATGGGAGGCTTTAAGTAAGTAATAGAACACTCATAACTTGATGCTGTGTATTCATGTGAGTTTTGTTTTGTTATTTTAGTTAGTGAAAGTATAAGTAGTTAGGAATTAAGCATAATTAGTTTTTTATAATATTTGCATTCAATAGGAATTATATTATGATTAGGTTAATAGTATATTCAGGGTGGTGGTGTGAGGTGGTTTTAGGATCTTCCTGCCTACAAAGGAGAAGAAAAATACAGCAGCATTTATAGGAATACATGATTATTGACTAATTGTCTTAGAAGATTGCTGGGTGAACTGAAAAGTTTTGGGAACATTTTTCATTAAAAACTCAAGAAGAAGGGATAATGATTGGGACAAAACTGCAACTAAATCAAGGGTTCTCAAACTGCTCTCCTTGTGTCCAGTCCCTCAACCAGTACTAGGATGCCCTAATAAAATTATGCCATGCCATATCTTTCCAAAGAAATTGATAGTATATATAATATGAAATATATTTTTATTTTTAAATCATTCTAAAACGTTGATAGTTTTTTAACTCATTTGTGTTATGAGGTGATACCTGATTTAGAAATATCTAGTTATTTTATATTTAATATCAGTATTGTGTTCTTCAAAGAGCAGAATGACTTCTTTAGTGCTTCACCACCTGACCTGGCTTGCAGTTCACACATCTTAGAAAAAATAGGTTCTCTTCAGGGCCCCTGGGTGGCTTAGTCGGTTAAGCGTCCAACTCTTGATCTCAGCTCGTCTTGATCTCAGGGTTGTGAGTTCAAGCCCTGTGTTGGGCTCCACGCTGGGTGTGGAGCCTACTTAAAATTTTTTTTTTTTTTTTTAAAGAAAAATAGGTTCTCTTCAAGTATTCTTTGAGGCAAGATACCTATTGTCTCTGAGGCTGGGGCTTGCAGGAGGTTTGAAGTACAGTAAAAGCACAGGCATTGGAATTAGCAGACCCAGGATTTAAATTCCATCCTTGCCACCTACTGGCTCTGTGGGTTTAAACATGCTGCTTAAACTCTCTGAGCCTCAAGTTTTTGTTTTTGTTCATAGGATTGTTTGAAGATTAAATGAGATATAATGTATATGGCATACTTGAGCCATAGTATTAGGCACACAATAAGCACTCAAAAAGTGGTGTTTACACTCAAAATTGAGGGAGATGACAGGAACCCTGAGCCTTGGGCACCCCATTATCCCTGGTAGTCTGTTTTTCAAGAAATCAACCTTTAACTCTGTTTTACTTACTGGTCCTCTTACTGGACTGAAGGAAGGGTGTATTGATGTAATATATTGTTAATTAATGATATTAATCTTACTATAACAACATAACTTTTAACAGTTTAAATTGATTTAAAAATTGCTAATTAAGTTTTTAAATGTTAAATAACTCACTTATTAGTAAAAAATGCTTTTGCAAACTTAAGTCCAGGTTTGGCAATAGCCAAATGTGGGGATAGTTTACAGAATGTATATGCCGAGTGCTTGCAGTCTAGTATTACAGGCTTGACCCTATTGAGTACAGCAGTATTCCCCAGCCACCAGGCTAAAAATAGATTAGCTTACACATCAGTTACCTATTGGAGTATTTTTAATGACTTTCATAAGAGTTCTATATGCAGTTTTTAAAAAATTTTGCTTTATATTCTATATCAGAGTTATTTCAGACTGAAATCAACTAAGAACAGCTACCTGTATGTTAAAATATATTTTGGGGGAAGAGCTAATAGAATAATATTTGAGTGCAGCTGTATTTTCATTAGACTGTTCAGATGACTTTGTATTTCACATGACTATGTATTCTCATGGGCCATAAGGGTTCATGCTCATTGGGTCTATTAAATATCAAATGATTAAGAATTGTGATTTTTTTCCCACACAAATGATTGTTCTGTTTTTGATATGACCCTTTATTCTTTGCAACTGAAATTTCATGTTTAGATGACAGTACTTTTTAAAAGCTACATAATTTTTTAAAGCTATACTCTCCTCCGACCACCCCATTACTAGTTGCAGTTTTAACTGAATATATAGAGGTGAAACAGGGCAAAAAATAATCCCTTAGAAAAGAGAGGTTTTGCAGGAGGTTGGTGATGAGTGTAAAGGCAAGAATTTTAGAAAACAAATAAGGCTTGATATGCGTAGGTTTTCCCTGATACTTTTATTTGACTTCTGTCCAGCTTCATATAACATACACATTAAATTAATATTAATAACACTTAATTTGGTTTACCAAACTTTTTAAAATATTCTTTACCAGGAGGTTCAGCAACATCAGATGACCATGAATTTGATCCATCAGCTGACATGCTGGTTCATGATTTTGATGATGAACGAACATTAGAAGAGGAAGAAATGATGGAAGGAGAAACAAACTTCAGTTCTGAAATAGAGGATCTTGCAAGGGTAAATAAACACTAAGAGCTAGAGGATGAAGTAGTTGTGGCTTTTTTGCGGAGAGTAGTCATGGCTTTTTTGCAGAGAGAGGAAATACTTGAAATTTTGGGTCTCTACCTTTGTTTTGGGGGAAAAGTGGTGTTGTATATAATTGATACTGAAAAATTTTATGTGGTCGTAGGTGCGATATTTAAAGTTTGAAATGAAAGGCTTTTTTTTTTTAAATAACTATTTGGAATAGAATTAAAATAGTTACTTTAGTAAAACATCACAGGTATCCAGTCACAGATGGGCTATATAAAGGGGGTGCTTGGGTGGCTCAGTCAATTAAGTGTCCTACTCTTGATTTCAGCTCAGGGTTGTGAGATCAAGTCAGGTTGTTGGGCTCTGCACTGGGTGTGGAGCCTGCTTAAGATTCTCTCTCTCTCCCTCTGCCCCTCCACCCCTTTCCTGCTCTCTAAAAAAAAGTATGCTGAATTTCCTCATACATACCTTTGTCCTCCCCCACTTGCTGACCTTTTACTTAATACCCTTTCAGAGCCAGAATTTCTTAATAGTGGTTATCATCTTCCTCATTTCCCATTTATTCTATAAAATACTCTAGATAGTCTCTGCCCTTTCCTGTCAAGATGACCAATGATTTTATTGTTTTATGTATCAGTCACTTTTCTCTCTACTTTATTGTCAGCCATATTCAACAGTTAACACTCCCTTCTTTTATTTGAATTCTGGAGTACCCCACTGTCCAGTTTTTCCTATCTGTTTCTATTCAGTGCCCTTTGCAGACTCATCTTCCTTCACCCAAGGTTTAAATTTGGAATTCCCCAATTCTCTGTTTTGGACTTTTCTTCTGTCTGTAAATTAGTGCTCCTCAAAATGTAGTATGAAGGTCAGCTGCTTCAGAATCGCTCATGGACTTAAGAAATGCAGATTCCTATACCTCTCCCCAGGCATACTGAATTAGAATCTCCGGAATATATACATACACACCAAATTTGAAAATTATTAATTAGGTGATCTGATCTATCTATTCCCAGGGTATCAGTATTCTTTATTTTTCTAGCACTGTCATATTTCTTGTCTCCAGCTTTGTTTATCTAACCTTCCCTGCTTGACATTTCTGCTTGGATATCTCAATAGATATCTTTAAATTTTAAATGTCCTAAGGGCGCCTGGATGACTCAGGTGGTTAAACGTCTCTTTTTTCGGCTCAGGTCATGATCTCAGGGTCCTGGGTCCAACTCCACATCAGGCTCTGTGCTCAGTGGGGAGTTGGCTTGAATATTCTCTCTCTCTGCCCCACCCCCGGCTCGTGTGTTTGTGTGTGCGCGCGCACGCGCTTTCTCTTGCTAACATAAATAAATAAAAATCTTTTTAAAAAATTCTTTAAAAATAGGGACGCCTGGGTGGCTCAGTCGTTAAGCGTCTGCCTTCGGCTCAGGTCATGATCCCAGGGTCCTGGGTTGGAGCCCCGCATCAGGCTCCCTGCTCAGCGGGAAACCTGCTTTTCCCTCTCCCACTCCCCCTGCTTGTGTCTCTCTTGCTGTCTCTCTGTCAAAAATAAATAAAATCTTTTTTAAAAAATTCTTTAAAAATAAAGTTTAAATGTCCAAAGCAGAACTGTTGATTGATGTTCTTCCTCCATCTGTTCCTTCTCTGTCTTCAGCTTAATAAAAAATGGCACTATATTGTACCTTGTTGCCTAAGTCAGAAATCAGGGAGTCCTCTTCCTTCATTCCCAGTACTCAATCCCAAATAAGCTTCTCATTTCTACCCACAAAGATACCTCTTATCTGACTGTTGTTCCATCTCTGCTGCCACTCTCTAGCCCAGGTCACCGTTTCTAGCCTAGACTATTTATAGTAACTTCCTAACTAGATTCTCCTCATTTCCTCTTTTACCACTCTTCCCTCCAGGATATTTCTATAGTAGCCATGATGGTCTTTTCAAAATACAAATCCATTTGTGTCAGCCTTTTATTTAAAATTGCTTCAGTGGTTTCCTGTTACACAAGAAGAAAATCCAGATTCCTTGACTTGGCCAGCAAGGCCACCTGCGTGATAGGGTCCTTCATCCATGTATTATAGTGCCTCTGTCATGCTCTTAAATAGCCACATCAGCTGCTTCTGTTCTTAGATGTGCTTTTTCTTTCTGCTTCAAGGCTTTTCAGCCTATTCCTGCTCCTTGATATGTGCTTTGAGACTGACTCTTATCCTCTTAAGTCTGGGCTTAATGTTGCCTCCTCAGAATGACCTTAACCTGTCTCCTAATTAGCTTTTTTTTTTTTTAAACCATTATACCCCATTCAGTGCTTTCTTATAACTAACACAATTTGTAATTACATGTTTGTCTAATTTATTATCTGTATCCTCCTTCAGTTCTGACGGGAGGGACAGTTTTTGTTTTATTCACCAGTGTATTTCCTGGTATTTCGCAAGAGTGGTCAAACATTTTGAATGAATGAATGGATAAATCAATCTGGTATGCTCTAATTTAAAATGTCCTACATAAATGATCTGCACTCCATGATAAAAACATAAATAAATAAGACATCATGTCAGTCTTTAAGCATTTGGAATACATAATATCGTGGAAAAATGAATTGTACTTTTGCAGTAATAAAGACTAATCTGTGTTTCAGAATTTTAGTTTGGAACTTTTTAAAGTGTACATTTAAAGAGTTAGAAAAGGAATCCTATTAATATCTAGTCATATCTTGTCAGATGGTCCCGTTTTGGCTCTTTTAGTAATTAAAGCTAGCTTATAATGCCTAAGCAATTCAATATTTTATTAAGCCAAAAAACAGAATTGGTTTTAGGGGCAATGATGTATAGCTGTTATAAAAGCTTTTCAAGAATGAGTTAAAAGCACATGAAGAGCCTGGAGTCAAAACTATTCTTTAGAAGAGGCTGGAAAGTCATTCAGAAGACTGGTATAATTTTGAATGATTCAGAACCTAGGTGAACATCGAAAGAAACAATCATAGTCACTTCATATATTCATTAAGTGGAAAGGCAGTTATTTGCCTATATTTCATAGAAATTTCTATTGCTTTAGATATATTTTCATTTCTGAATAACCCATCCATGGGATAACATTTAAAGGAGGAAAATGTTATATTTTCCATTTTCTCACATTCTACATTACTCAAATAGTTGAGTAAGTAGTTACTTAGGAGATAATCAGTACAGGTTATGTAGTAGAATGATTATTGTTTTCTTCTGTTTTGGAAAATAGGCTATTACATTTAATTAGTGCAAAATCGCTAATAGACTTTGCTAAAAGTTTGGATGTGTATTGTCTTTTACTATTTCTACTTTATTCTCTGCCTCCTTCAGTCTTTTACAGCCTCCCCAAATTTGCTTTCAAATGACCCTTCTTAGGGAAGAAAACTTAAAGTAGAATTATTTGTAGAGGATATAGAAAGAAAGAGACAGGGAACCAATCTTTTATCATTCTCTTCATCCAGGCAGTCTTACACCTTCTCAGATGCTTCTAGCTTTTCCCAGAATAATTAAGGCTTAGGTTTAAGTTGCGCAAAATCACCAATGCTTTCGTAACCTGCTGCTAAGCTAGTTCAGGGCCAGTATAATTATAAACTCTTTAGGAATGAACCAAACTAAATTCTTTTTTTTATTTAAAAAATGAAGATTTTCTTTGATTACTGATTTTCTTTTATAGAAATGAAACATTACAGCTCTGTCAAGAATCAGTTAGTTGGTTTTTACCTGGCATGTTATATGCAGTGAACTTTTGATGTAATTATGTCAGAATTCTGACAGTTGATTCATTCAGGAGTTATCAACTGCATGGTCTGTAGTTTTAAGTTCATTGAAAAGTAGCTTTCCATAGAAAATGCTTTGATGTTTGTTATTACATTTCAGTACAGTTCAAATATAGGCATAAAGCTTAATATTGTAAAAGGTGCTTATATAAGTTTACCATTTAAATGTTTTAGTAGAATTAGATACACAGGTTAGAATTTATTGTGGGGATCTTAGAGAGTGTCAGAATCATTCCCATAGTAGATAGACTTTTTGCTAGAAATAGCAATATGTAGGCTGGCTTAACTGTTTTTCAGATGTATTCTTAAAATTCCTAGTCTTGCTTTGAATGGCACAATTGTAGCGGTCTATTTGGGAGAAGAGGGATCGGGATCAGCTGAGCGTCTGCCTTCGGCTCAGGTCATGGTCCGGGTCCTGGGATCGAGCCCCGCAGCAGGGAGCCCGCTTCTCCCTCCGCCACTCCCCCTGCTTGTGTTCCTGCTCTCTCTCTCTCTCTCTCTCTCTGTCAAATAAATAAATAAAATCTTTAAAAAAAATCACATAATAATATTATACTTAATATTCACTTTGAAGTGCTAGACACATACCATCTGATGAATCTTCAGAACTAGAAAATAAAAATTAAAATGTGAGAGCTTGAGTATTTTTTGAAGTATACACACAAGAATTATATTGAATAAAAAGAAACCCGAGTGTGGGGATTATAAAGAAACGTTCAGTGCCTCCATCCCTTTATAGTTTATCTTATAGTGAAACCCCAACCCCAAGAGGTTGGTTACCTCAGGAACTGTCTCTGTAGTCCAATCTGGATATAGTCCCCTGGACCATCCTGGCTAGAAATCAGTCTCTTTCCTTCTTCCTCCCCTTTCCTTTGTAAGCATTTATTGGTAAGTCATTTGTGGTACAAGGTAGAAGAAGAGTACTGCGTCCATCCACCAAATGGCCCTTGAATAGCCAGTATCTGCTGTCACCTGCAGTCATTTCTAAATGACTAATCTGATAGGAGGCAGAGGGACACCTCTCCAACCTTCAAATAATACTGAAGTTATTTGCTAACTTTACCATATTGTTTTAAAGTTAAAGGACAGATTTAACTTCAGATAAAATGTTTGTCTTTTAAAAACTCTGTTCTTTTCACTGCCAGCTAGCCTCCCTTTAGGTTATGCAGGCAGGATTGCTCCTGTTTTTGTTATAGTGCTTAGTTAACTTATTTCTTAAAGCATG